AAAATGGCATCCAATTCCTTGGTGAAAAGTGTTGGGGGCAATTCGCCTTCGAAATCATTGAATCTGAGGTCGAGGTATTTGAGATTGGGGATCCTGATGACAACTTCTGGGAAGTTGCCGACGAATCGATTGTTGCTAATGTCGAATTCATATAGGAGTGTGAGCCTCCAGAAGCTTGTGGGAACGATACCGCAGAATCGGTTGCTATTGATGTGGAATAGGGCGATGTCAGTCAGCAAACCGAGCTCAACGGGTAGGTAGCCAGCAATGTCGGCATGGTTGAGATCAATGCCGGCGACAACTTCGAGTTCAGGGTCGTCAAGGGCGGGGGCACAGAAGACGCCGGTGTAGGAACAGACATCGGCGCCGACCCAATTGGCAGTGGTGTTCAATGGGTCAGAATAAATAGTCATCTTCCAAGCTTGAAGGGCAATGTAAGCTCGCCGAAGTCTGGGACCTGTCTCTTATACACATCTGGTGGGGAGAAAACTGGTGGTGGAGGAGACTGGACCGGTGGAGGTGGAGATTGGATGGGAGGTGGTGGAGAGTGGACCGGTGGTGGTGGGGAGTGAACCGGTGCGGGTGGTGGGGAGTGCACTGGTGCGGGTGGTGGGGACTGGATAGGTGGTGGTGAAGAGTGAACCGATGCAAGAGGAGATTGGATGGGTGGTGGTGGGGAATGAACTKGTGGAGGAGGTGGTCGGTATCTTGGGATTGGTGATTGATCATGAGAATCATCCACTGGAGTTGATGGTGGACTTTTAGGCTCGGGTACTATGGATGATTTTGGTGCCTCAATCTCGGGAATCTCCTGCTTCGGTGGTTGCGGCTGGTCCAGCTTTGGTGGCATGGATGTCGATGTGGATGGCGATGGTGGTGACAATCCTCCGCCGCATTTAGCCTTRCTGCAATCAACAGTCTTATGGATCACGGGAGTACAAATTTGTGTCGTCTTCTGGTTCGGCCTCTCTGGCAAACAATTGCTGGAATCATCCAACACAATGTTCTTTCTGTTCTGGGGCACGCAGCTCTCGGCYTCGCCRTTGAAGAAATTGTTAGAGAATGTGAAATTAACYAATTTGGGCAAGTTACAAACGCCCTCCGCCACAAACCCAGTCAACGAATTCCCAGAAATATCCAACGCCTCCACTCCCTTCAACCCATCAAAGCTCTTTGGTAAGATCCCACTCAATTTGTTGTATGAAACATCCACAACCGTGGCATTTCCAAGCAACCCAATCTCCCCTGGAATACAGCCCGCAAGTCCATTGTTCAACATCACGAACTCTTTCAACGTGTTCTTCATTTTCCCAATGCTGCTCGGAATGCATCCCGTGAAATT